GTTCGCTTGTTCGAGGGTCTGTTTCTCGAGCTTAAAGAGCTCGAAAATCAGGTATCTATTCTTTAATAGCAGATCTCGTAAAACCGTCGCTACAATAAAATTGGCTTTACAGGACAGCTAAAACGTCTAATCAAGCGCTATAATAAAATATTTTGTCCTATCTAAACTTAAATCCTATAAATAATTTATTAAGACACTAAAACACTTTTGGTGTCGTAAAAACTCGATTTTGTTGTAGTGTCTTATCGGCTTAATATTCGTTTTTCAGCTTATTTTCAAGCCGTTGGTTGTTACCGGACGATCTCTCGGGGGATGCATCGCCATTCTTTTTACGCTATGGCTGCAACACGCCATAGATGAGAAAGAAGACGACGGCTTCAAGGATACGAAAAGACCAATTTGCATAACTTTCGGTTGCCCGCTTGTTGGGAACCAAGATCTCCGAAAGGCGATCTCCGAACGCCCACAATGGAAATCTCGATTCTTGAATGTGGTCGCACAGACTGATCCTGTTGCTCGCTTTTACTCATCAAATAGTCTTTACAAGCCTTTCGGTACCTCCCTCTTTTGCACGGAATCAGGCGGGCACATGGTTTTTGAAGATCAAGAATCGGTCCCGGCTGCTCTAGATGCTATGGCGTCATCTATAACCGAAAATACAGAAATCGATTACGGGAACCATTTGAAGTCAATCCGAAGGAAGGTATTGTATCGCGGGGTTTCCAAATTGGGTGAATTCGGGTTGGATTCGTTGAGGGCAGGTATCACATTGCAGTTCAGTGAAGTTGGTCATGTGCTAGATGATAATTGCAATGATCTGATTGGGAGAATGGAGGAGGAACAAAGACTAGCAAAGAGGAAATCGAATTTGCGTTACGATCGTACCAAGTCCAAGAAGCTAAACAAAGCGAAGACAAGCATGGTATGCATGGAATTATACATGAAGAACGAAAGATCGAAAGGGGGTTACTACGATAGATTCAAAACCCCCGTAAAAAGCAAATCCGAAATCGAGTCATATCAAGAAATCGTGAAGAATAAACGGATCCTGGACCAGTATTGGAAGGAGACGGTTGCCGAAAACAATCTAATGCCGCAAAATAAAGGCGCTAAGTTGCGCAACTGTTTGCTGTACGGTGGAAACACGTACAGAAAGATCGTCGAGCCACTAGACATCGCCGAACACTACAAATTAAACGGTGAATACTACAAAAATGGAGAGAAACACTATCTAGAAATCAGGTCTCAACATTACCAGTTGTTGGAGAAGTGGCTGAATGAAGATAAGAAGGGTCTGAATCCAAGTGAAAGAAGCAATAAAGCAGCAAGTCTTAACGATGATTCTTGCTTCTGGGCACATGTGGAGGAGGCTTCCGTTTTGTTGTCGGAGTTGAAGAATGGAGGGTCTACGGACGTCCGTGGCCAGAAATTAGAGCAGTTTGAGACTTATGTGATGAGTGCAATCAAGAATTACTCCTTGTCTCCAGATGTTTTCATCAAGGGAAGCAGCTTAATGAAGTGGTGGAATGAGTATAAACAGCACAAGGGAAGCTTATATGCTTCTGAGTTTGCTCAGTTTATGAACAACGAAAGCTACAGATCATATACTTAAGTAATATGATCGTATTAAAATCACATGTGATTCACGCGACTTGATGTCGTCTGCACACCTTGTATTGACCATGTGAAATCACATGTGATTT